AGCCCATTGCGGCCCTGAATAAGGTAAAGGACGAGAATGAAAAACGAAGTGTTCAGATTAGGGTCTCTTTAAGGTCAACATGAATGAAAAAATAATATTATGTTTGACTTAGTCTCTGTGTAAGGTGGACATGAATGAAAAACAAATGTGTCACGATGCGGTGGAACCAGGCGCTCGTCAATTTTGGGGCATATGGAGCTATTGGTATCATCTAAAAGCCTATCCATTTGCCTTACTTTTAATGGAAAAAATATCCATTTATCTTTCGTACAAGTCAAGATATTGGCGATTGAAGTAGGTGGGGGTCACCTGGTTTCAGAAGTAAAATTTGCGAGAAAAACGCCGTTAAAGTTGTGTCATTTCTTTAGCTTGAGAGCCTGTAAAAACTGAAAATTTACATCCTTTGTGCCTTTATTCAATGTTTTTCAGTAAAATCCACACAGAAATGTGTTCTTTAATGGATATGAAAAACAGAAATTTGATAAATACCAAAACCTGCAGGAAAATGCCAGTTTCTTCACTTTCATTATTTTGACGAGCTCCTGGTTTCACGTCGCTGCCTCACATATGTGTTCAGTGTAGTGTCTGAGTAGGGTAAAAGACACGAATTAAAAACAGTACGTTCTATTTAGTGTGTGAACAGGTTCTATAATGGAAAAAAAAAATTGTTCAGCCTGGTGTTATGTTCTTGTTTGAGTAAGAGCAACACCATAAACAAAAAATAATCCCAATATGTTCTGCTCAGTTGTTCAATCCAGTTGTAGTTAATGATCTGGACCTCAAAAAGCATAAAACTGTAGACCTACAGCAGAGAGAGACAGAAGCCTACCTTGGTGATGCCGTCATACAGAGCCTTCCTGGCCAGAGTGGCGGGCCCGTCCACCGTGCGCCCATCATCGTCCGGCCCCCAACTGGCGCTGTAGATGTGGATGTGCTGGGAGTTGAGGCCCAGGGACTGAGCCTCCACCGAGTCCGTCACGTCACCGTCCAGCATACGGACACCTGCGCCACGATACACACAGAGAGGGTAGTTAAGTTTTAGTAAGAGTTTTACGGCGCTCGCAACATACTAAGGTCATATAAATGCCGAAGATTAGAGGTGTTACAAGAGAGTAACAAACATTTTAAAAAGTTTAGTTTTAGTTGAGGTTTTACGGCGCTTGCAACACAATAAGGTTATATAAGTGCCGAAGATTAAAGGAGTCACAAAAATGTAACAAACATACAAAAGAAGTAGAAGAGCACCCGCCAACCACCCACAAATAGAGGATAGGACTAGAATCATATGATGGTAAAAACGTGTCACACTGAAGCCTCTAACAACAACAACAGCAACAACAACAACAAAACAACAACAACAACAACGACCCAATCTGTCCATTGTGCAGCGAGGAGCTTCAAGAATTGGAGCGATTTTAGTTTTAGTAAGTGTTTTACTTGCAAAACAAAGAGGTAGTATATAAGTACCGAATATTAGGTGTTACTAGAGAGTAGTATTGAGAGGGGGTAGAAATAGAACGATAGAATAGATGCCCAATAGGACAGAAGGAGTAAACCACACCAGAGTACCTGCCAACCCCCCACTCACAGCAAACAGATCATCAAAAAAGAGCTCCTCTCGTGCCAGTCAAACGATACTAACCCCCAACCTTTTCGTCCTCTATCCACAGGTCCTTTACGTGTACCGTAACTGCAAGATTTCACAACAATATTACAGTAAAAAGGACCAGAGCTGTGACCTCACTCTTCACAACAGACGAGCACTAAGTAGAAGATGGGGCGGATTTAGTCAGGTCGTTGTTCTTGCATCGCTGACACCTGAAGTTACAAATATAAAGGACGCGTGACCGGTGACAAAAGGAGCAAAGATCTCGCCGTGTCGGGTACTGACACTGGCTGGCACACCAATCCTCTTTTCACACAAACAGGAGTGGCTACCTCAACAGCCACTGGGCAAAGAGTCGTCTACAGACCTTAGAACATCCATTAGAACAGGAAAAGTGGTTTAGTTTTAGTAAGAGTTTTACGGCACTTGCAACACAATAAAGGTCATATAAGTGCCGAAGATTAGAGGTGTTACAAGAGAGTAACAAACATAAAGAAAGAAGGAGGGGGAGATAAGGACGATAGATGTTTGATAGGAAAGAAGAAGCAAACCACATCAGAGCACCCGCCAACCACCCACACATAGAGGATAGGATTAGAATCATACGATTGTAAACGTGTCACACTGAAGCCTCTTCTAACAACAAAGCTCTTTAAAAAACACAAAATAGCAACAACAACAATAACCCAATCTGTCCATTGTGCAGCGAGGAGCTTCAAGAATTGGAGCGATTTTAGTTTTAGTAAGTGGTTTTTTTTTATAGTAGAGGGTTTTACGGCGCTCGCAACTGCATAAAGTCATATGAGCGCAAAGGGGTGCGTGTCAACAGAGAAGTCTTTACAGGGAATCAGACTTAGACTGCTCACCTCTCTAGCTTCAACAGCACAAGGTCTGCTTCGACTATCAAGGCACCCCAAAATAGCAGGTCACAAGAGTGTGGCAAACATACAAAAGAAGTAGAGGAAAATGACAATAGTAAGAATCAGGAAAGAAAAAGAAGCAGTTCCCTGTTGTAGATCAGGCACAGTTACGAGCGTGACATGAGTCAGCCCATTTACAATTCTACTATGCTTGAACGAGAAATGTCCCCCTTTGGGAATGGCCTAAAGACACTTCAGTCAGTGGCCCTGCCCCGGGGAGGGGGGTGGTGGTAAGTGTTTTACGGCACTTGCACCACAATAAGGTCATATAAGTGCCGAAAAACAGATGTGTTACAAGAGAGTAACATAGTACACAAAAAATGAGGAGAGACAAGGACGATAGATGTTTGGTAGGAAAGAAGGAGCAAACCACACCAGAGCACCCGCCAACCACCCACAATTCACGTCTTCTCTGCCAGAGAGCAAGCGATCCCATTACACAACGGACGCTGGTTTTAAGCTTAGTAGGGAAAGGTGAGGCGAAGCAAACAGCTAAAAGACGACAGGAAATAAGTAAGACTTGAAAGACCAGGGAAACATCCGCAAACGCCTGCATGCTCATTATTATAATCAGTATCAGTGTGGGTGTCGAGAAGCAAATAGACACAATAATGGCCATTTAGGGCTGTGAACAGAGAAAAAACAACACCCGAAAAGTAGACTAGAAAGACTTGTTAGACGCACCCACCAACCACCCACGTCTCTATCCCAAGTTTGAATATAACATAACGATCATTTAGTGCTGGAGAAAAGCTAGACACCCAGACAGACAGACCGACAGAAACAGAAGAGAGAAAGAAAAGAAATAAGACCTGGAAGAGACACCTGCCAACCACCCATATGTATATCCCAAGTTTTTAATACAACAACGGCCATTTAATTAATTCAGACAAAAAGCTATACACCCAGACAGACAGACAGAAACAGAAGAGAGAAAGAAAAGAAATAAGACATGTAAGAGACACCTACCAACCACCCACATGTCTATCCCAAGTTTTACTACAACACAACTGCCACTTAACTCTGAGAAAAAACTATACACCAAGACAGACAAACAGAAACTCAAGAGAGAAAGGAAAGAAATAAGACATGTAAGAGACACCCACCAATCATCCACATGTTTATCCCAAGTTTCAATACAACACAACTGCCACTTGATTCTGAGAAAAACCTATACACCCAGACAGATAGAAACAGAAGTGAGAAAGAAAAGAACTAAGACCTGTAAGAGACACCCGCCAACCACCCTGACGCTTATCTCTAGCAGGCGACCCACACGTCTATCCCTTGCGAACGAGTAGGATCTAGACGCTCACTCAGAGTAAGAACGTATAGAATACAGAGTAGGAGGATGCACCTCAAGACATATAACCGCAACCTCCACCCCACCACCCATCCCCCCCCCCCCCACACACACACATACCCCGAGCGCTCTGCACCTGGCCCTCTGGCGGTGCCTCCTGGGTAGAAGAGTTAACTTAATTTCCCCCTATTAACACCTGGTTCACCAACCGCTGCGACCCTAATTCATCAACAGAAATAACGACACAAGTGCCAACTTAACTCTTTGACAAACGTTTTAAGAAACAAAAAATAGAAGAAAAAAATCCTGGGAGCTTTCATCTACCACTGTGAGCTTTGCGGTTGCATAATTTGGAGATGTCTGAATTTTGTTTAAAATCTAGGATTACTCTTTCGATGTTTTG